GGACCCCTGAGAGATGAAATAATTCCACTTCTGTAACAGACTTACCGAGCGAGCGCATGCATTGACGGTTGTATCTGTGTGGGAGCGCAACATCTTTCCTTTGTGTACTTTTCCGCGTCCCTCTACGAAGGTGGAAGGGAGTGCTGTCAGCTAGTGAGAGAGTGTAAGACAGCTGCAGTATGCTGTCTCCTTTCCATCTCTGCTTGAAAGAGTGGGTGCGCTTGCCCCCGGGCTATTCTATCGTATTTGATGACCTCGCGAGCAGCTTGCCTATTGTCCATGTCATTCCATCTCGTAGAACAACGGTCCCCAACATTTTTCGTGTGACTGAGTGGTTTCACATGAAGTAATATCATGACAGATCAGCATAGAAACAAATGTTATGTGCTTAAAGATACAACTCGCCAGTGTGCTGAATGTTTTATTTATTATTTTTGAAAATTGGATTCATTGTATTCAGTGATGAACCAATTGAGCTGTGTCTTGCTCAACGGCACCTCGGCAGTTGCCCACCATCCCCCAAAATCAACAGGCATGTCCCCTTCTTGGGGTAATTTTCGAGAATGACACCAGTCGACTCTGTGATTTTACTTTTGTTGTCCTTGTTGCAAAAAAAATCTCACTTCACAACTTTTGGATGTTGGAAATAAGCGAGTTCAAAGAAAAAGTGCTTTTTCAGGGTATTTTGAAGGCTTCATTGCCTCATTTGCAAGCCCGCTACCAAATTTGACCCAGTCTTGGTCCATGAGAAGCACCGGATATTGTCTCTTAAATGCAGCTTTCTTGTTCTTGGAAGGTCTCGGCTATTCGTCTCATCACTTGGCCTACTTTTTTTTCCTGAAGTTGATTGTTTTATTTTATTTTTTTACTACTCAATTTAGCTAGCATATTGGCTTACTTTTTTAAGAGACAGAGAAGAGTGGTTTGACATGTAAAGAGGCATGGGGGATCCGTTGTTTTTTTTTTTTTTTTTTTTTTAAATAAAACCTCTTTCAAAAATTATATTTTTTGCTCACCATCTCTCTGCGGCCCAGTACAAAATGTCCCACGGAGCGGCACTAGTCCATGATTGGCGACCGCTGGCAGAGAGGTAATTTTATCGGTGTACACATCCTCAACAACCACCATATCTAACGAAGAACTTTGTATGATCGAAGCATGTTTTTGGGGGTTTGCCTCTCATTTGGTCAATGTAGCTTTTGAAATGTGCAGTAAGTTTCTTTTTTTTTTTCCCCAACACATTAATTAATGGATGAAGTCATTACCTAATTAAAACGAAGGATGGATTGTGGTTGCGGCAAACATTGTAGTACTGTCTGTTAGTTATTTGGATTACATTTTGTCCCACGAAGACAAAAAAAAATGCATGTCATTTGTAATTGTTCCATTTAGTTACTGGTTAAACATCTTGATGTTGGTCATATTCAAAATGATTTTGCAATCTGCAAAGAAAATGTATTGTTGCGGCAGTTGAGATCCAGTGCTAATTAATTGTGCTTCATCATACAAGAATCCCATTATAGCTGTTGCCAGTGTCTCAGACAAGCACTCGGCTCTTCACAGTTAAACAATAATGCGCACTAGCATGATTGATTCCAGTCTCTAATTGAGACCGTGGCGACAATAGGCTTTTTCAAACTAGGCTTGACGTATTGCAATAGTTGTCAGTCAGTCTCAGCGCACTTATAGAGTCAAATTTATTGCCAAATATGCTCTATGTGCAACATACAGCACAGATTAAATTTCTTTCCTCACAACTAAAGTGCAACCAGAGGAGTTACAGTGGTACCTCTACTTCCGAACGTCTCTTCATATGAAATTTTCAAGTTACGAAACGCCTCAACAGGAAAATATTGCCTGGATGGAACGGATTAGGGCATTTACATGGAAAACGCGTCTCTACTTACAACATGTTCTCGTTAAGTTTCTAACAGAACTAATTAATTTTGTAAGTAGAGGTACCACTGTACTTGTTGGAATACGCCATTAATTTGTTCAGCATAATGCCATGATTTTAGTGAGGTGAGTACGCGATAATGAGTTTGACAAAGGGTTCAAAATGTGGAAATTCCGACAAATTGTTCTGGCAATGAAGAAATTTCAATAGGTGGGCAACTCGGTGTTTATTATAGTGTCCTACCTGAGCGCTGTGTGCCTCTGGTGACCAACACCAAACGGCGTCAGTTCGTGTTTTGTACATCACACACCTTACCCTGATGACTGCACTCTGTTCTCACACATCGGCTTCACACCTGTAAACAACTTTCCATCTCCAACACGTGTGTACCGCCGCTGGATGCAATCTCCCTGGTATTCAGAAGTAGGATTTCATCCATTTACACTTCAAGTGCCGTGTCAAACAACAAGACTGTTTGCGGATAAAGTTCAACTGTGGGATGTTTTTGTTCAACATCTTGCACAGTTCTACTTTTCAGAACTTCTTGTCTGATCCTTCACTCAAGACACAAAGCAGCCAAATGCAACATTGAGCTGGATTTCTCCGGTCCTGTCAGAGGAAGATTAGAGGAGGTAGGGATCTTTTGTGGAGATGCACTTTTATAAACCTTTCCCTCACATCATTACTTCAGTAATGGCTGAGCAACACTTGAGGAGATAAATGAGACAGTGGGATGGATGCTGTTTGTTTGACTAGTCAGCATGGACCTCTAATTCTCACAGCTCAAGAGCACAATAATGGCATTTCCTCACGAAGAAGGTTCAGGAAAATGAAAGCAGATACATTTTTTTTTCTTTCTTTGGAATCTCCCGAGACTTTCCTTTCCTCTTTCAAGATGAACCCTTTCTCCGTGCCTGTGTTATTGAGAGAGTTGATGTCATAGCGCGAGGGGAGAAGGTTTCTTTGATTTTCAGGAAAGGTTCGGTGACAATTTGACAGAGGCTGAGAGGACGTGGAAGCAAATCCTTTGATAGTGACTGTTGACAAAAGGCTGCTGCTACATACAAATAGCAATTTATCCTCTCCTATTCATCTCCTCTCCTCTCTTCCTATTTACTGAATGTTAGCGCTTCTGGGCTCATCGTCTCACATTGCTCTCACACATCGGCTTCACACCTGTAAACAACTTTCCATCTCCAACACGTGTGTACCGCCGCTGGATGCAATCTCCCTGGTATTCAGAAGTAGGATTTCATCCATTTACACTTCAAGTGCCGTGTCAAACAACAAGACTGTTTGCGGATAAAGTTCAACTGTGGGATGTTTTTGTTCAACATCTTGCACAGTTCTACTTTTCAGAACTTCTTGTCTGATCCTTCACTCAAGACACAAAGCAGCCAAATGCAACATTGAGCTGGATTTCTCCGGTCCTGTCAGAGGAAGATTAGAGGAGGTAGGGATCTTTTGTGGAGATGCACTTTTATAAACCTTTCCCTCACATCATTACTTCAGTAATGGCTGAGCAACACTTGAGGAGATAAATGAGACAGTGGGATGGATGCTGTTTGTTTGACTAGTCAGCATGGACCTCTAATTCTCACAGCTCAAGAGCACAATAATGGCATTTCCTCACGAAGAAGGTTCAGGAAAATGAAAGCAGATACATTTTTTTTTCTTTCTTTGGAATCTCCCGAGACTTTCCTTTCCTCTTTCAAGATGAACCCTTTCTCCGTGCCTGTGTTATTGAGAGAGTTGATGTCATAGCGCGAGGGGAGAAGGTTTCTTTGATTTTCAGGAAAGGTTCGGTGACAATTTGACAGAGGCTGAGAGGACGTGGAAGCAAATCCTTTGATAGTGACTGTTGACAAAAGGCTGCTGCTACATACAAATAGCAATTTATCCTCTCCTATTCATCTCCTCTCCTCTCTTCCTATTTACTGAATGTTAGCGCTTCTGGGCTCATCGTCTCACATTGCCCACCACATCATAATTTTGCAGTGGCAGCCAATGGCATGTTGCGCCATTGGTGACGGTCAACCGTCACTTCAATGAGTTGATAGGTAAGGTTATAGAGGTCAATCCAAAAAAAAAATTTGCAGATCACTGGATGTTGACTTTTTATGTATCTTTAAATTGTTCCATTATCTCGAGCTGACTATACCCGACAAACATCAGCACTGTGAGGGAAGGGGGGAAAAAAAAGAGAGTTCTGATTTTAAATCATAATCTGACTCACACTAAAGGAAGTTTGGTAGGAGCCTTACTGATGTTAATTGGACCTTGATTTGGTGAAGGGGAATTAGGCTAGACAAAAAAAGCAAATTATTTTGGATTCTCCCATGCTCTAGGGTGTCCTAAAATGCGACAGGTTAAATATGGCCCAATTAAAGAGAGCCAGAGCAGAAATTCCTCCTAATTTCTCACACCAAGCTTGGTCTTTCAAAAGAAAGTGTACTTCTAGGAACAAAGAACTTTAAGACCGAGCCAATGACTCAGACTCTGCACTTAAAACAAATAGGGTGCAGCATGTTTGCAGAAAGTTGAGGCGACAGCTCGTTTTTGAGAAAATAAAAAGATATGCTTTTTGAATCAGTTATCGTATACAATGGTTTAAATCATGATGGCAAAGCTGGAAACGTATACAAGATGATATACAACTTGAACTTGCACCATGCAAATAGATGTAAAAGAACAGAGTGAGTTCAACTCGCGCTAAGTGGGCGGCAGTTTACCACCGCCTGTCAACCTGCCCGCTGGACAAAATGAACGTATCGTATGTAAAGAACAGAGGGTCGTATTGCCCCCTACACAGGCTCAAGAGACTGTATATTGTGGTTAACGATACATTACTAGCAGCTACAAATCCCTGCGAACTGCATTATTAGCATGCATGCTCTGAATTGTGGAAAATGACAATGTTGATGACATGTCAATATACTTGCAAGGTATTGCTTTACATTTGATCTGTTATTTATGACCGCCTTACTTTTTCATTACCATTTGCTACTTTATTTCCTAGATCAGGGTTGGGCAAACTAAAGGGCGACATTTAATTTTTAAAACAGACAGATGGGCAGGTCATTCATAGATTAATTAATAATACAAAATTAAAGCGTCGATCTAGTGATGTAAAATATATTATAATTTAAAAGGGCGAAACAGTGGGTGACTAATTAGCACGTCTGTCTCACATTGCAGAGGTGCAGGGTTTGATTCCAGCTCCGGCTTTCCTGTGTGACGTTTACATGTTCTCCCCCTGCCCGCGTGGGTTTTCTCCGGGTACTCAGGTTTCCTCACATATTCCAGAAACATGCATGGTAGGTTCATGGAACACTCAAAATTGTCCCAAGGTGTGAGTTTGAGCGTGAATGTTTTTTTTTTTTTTTTTTTTTTTTTTGGGTGAATGTGTGCCCTGCGATTGGCTGGCAACCAGTTCAGGGTGTACCCAGCCTACTGCCCGAAGACAGCTGGGACAGGTTCCCGCGTGTCCGCAACCCTTGTTAAGATCAGCTGATTAGAAAATGGATGGATGGATAAAATAATTTTAGGGGAAAAAAAGTGGTTAAATTGCCGCTAATATCTGAATTACAGAACTCTTGATAATGTAAATGTTTGAGCCAGATGAAAGTGAAAATAAAATGTAAACATTTGACTCACCACAGAAAATCGTGTTATTGGCCTGCCACATTTGAAGAAATAAAAATTTGCCAAATACATAAAACGAGCTTCTAAAATTCTGAGAAAATCGAGCCCTTCTCCCAGCTGTCGGACGCTGTGAGGGTGCCCGCTGATTGGACTGAAAACACGCTCTGCTCGACTCTTCTCTGTCGCTCAGATACGTTTCTGCAAGAACTTGTGTGCTCACTTATCAGTAATGTGAGCCACAATCTGAATAACATGTGCTAAGCCGCTGAGTTCAATAACAGTTAACTTTCCCTGAAATGTCTCAGTTATGTGGACCCACGCATGGCACAAAACCAACTGAGGCGCTGACCTATTGGATGATGCCGACACCGGTTCACAGGCAGCGAGGCTTGCTAGCCAACAGACCGTCGTCATAAGTCACCGCCTCACTCTGTTTTGTATCGTTCGTGGGTCCACATGACATAACGGGCTAGCAGGTGGACCGGTGGGAGGATAGTCTGGAATGACGGTGCTCAGTACTTAGTGGAGGAGGACCGACTCATGACAGAAAACCCAAGCCCCGTCCGTCTAAACGATCCGGACAACAGAAATGGAGACATAGTGAAAACTGTTTTTCTTCATAGCTCAAGAATTCAATGCTAAATTGTTCTTTCTTTGCACATTTTTCAGCATTTATCTTCAATCATATTTCATGTATTTGGAAGCAAATCACTGAAATCTTTAAAGTACGGGGTTGTCCATATGTGAGCCTGCCGGCTATACTTTCCCCTAGATTAATAAAAGGATCCGTATCGGAGTGCCACCAAAATTTACGCAGGCCTGGCTTTACACTGGATAGAGATGTACCCGCTATTATTATAATATTTTTAAGCGGACCTAATTTGTTCCTTAATTTTTCAATGACTAGCACATGAATCATCATAACAAAATAAGGGCAAATGCAGAAGGTGCGCGTCTAAAAAGATTAAAATGTGTGCAGCCCAATATGAAAATCGGACTTGGTGGAGGTCAGTGCTCTGACTTTTATTTCTTTTGAAACTCATTTTTTCTGCGTTTTAATGAGGTGTATAAGGATTGGACAAATTATTCTCAGAAGCAATTTTGATATGTGAACCCGCAAGCAAGTCCTTCAGAGCTCTTGCTTTCCTTGTATTCCATGTCAACTCTATGATCTCTGATCATCGCGAGAATCCTTTAAACTCACAGATTACACGTTACTTTGTTAAATCTTACTTTGAATGAGTGGAACAATTAGGAGCAGTGATGGGATTTGTGTATGAAACCACACTTGAAGATTTTCTGTCTTTTTAAGAATTCTTTCAACTCCCCCAATGCTTGCTCGGATTGCAGTGTGATTACATTGGGCTGTGCAGAAATGGCTGAATTGGAATCTTATCTTCTTCCATCTTTCCCATTACGGGCAGATTGAAAGCCCTGCAGCGGCGCTCTGGCTCACTCCCCAGTCAAGACTGCTTTTTAGACTGTAATTTGACAGCTTCTAATAATGTCACATTTTGTTGTTAAGATGCACTGCCAAGCACTTGAGCCATGCATGCTGTGACATCAGCACCACTTGAATTGTGAAGTTTTGCTGACCTTCCCTTCGCTCCTGGGCATCACCGCTGGCACTGCCTGCCTCCTGATGTCAGTATGACGTGAACTTGAAGAGAATACATTTCTAGATGATCTTTTAATTTAACTCTCCTAACACGTAAGCAATGTCTCTATTGAAGAAATTTGTCATTACTCTCTGAAAGCTAAGTACACTCCAAAAAATTGTATTTCATCAAGTGCTTACACAAAATAAAACCATTCGGATCCAAGTACATTTCTAAAATGGCTTCTACATCGATGTAAAAATATGTGTTTGGATCCAGATGACTTTATTTTGTGCATCCCCTTGATGAAAAAACGTTTTTTTTTTTCAATTGTCTGGGGTGCCTTGAGGTACAGGTTGAATTTGTTCCGTAACCACACTCATTACTCAAAACACCCAATCTCAAATCATCTTTCCCCATTAAATTGAAAGGAAATGCAATTAATCCGTTCCAGTCTCCCCAAAAGTCCCACCCCCAACCAAAAAAAAAAATTGTAATGAGGGGAACAGTATTATAGTTGACACGAATTAGGAAGAGTTTCACAGCTGCTGGAAATGACTCAGTAAGCGGCAGTAATACGGTATATGTTGCTTGTTGAGGAGGACAAATATTAGTGCCTGTACGTATTCTATTGCCTGTCTGCACGTGTCACTGCACCCTTTGTGTTTAACTAGCCGTTGCTTAAAGCGTCATGGCAAATTCCCATTATGTTACGTGATGTAGTGTTTTTTTTGTTTGTTTGTTTTAAATACGCAAGTATTTCTCTTAGTTTTATGTGTAGTTTGATTGGAAACTTTGACTGGGAGAGGCACCAAACAGCTTGCAGCCTCTTTTCTAAATGATTGTTCACTACCTGCCAAACTTCTGCTTGCTGTGAATTGATTGTCTCTCAAATTTTTGCTCCCAAAATTTCTAATGCACGACGGCTCGCGTCTTGAAAAACACCACTCAATCGTATTTATGTATTCATTTATATAGTTACTTTCATTTAAAGGCAATGTACTGATGCACTGTTCCTCCACATGATTTATGTTGGGCAGTGCAGATGTCTTATCTGTATGGTTCAGTCACTCATAGGGACATATGGTCCAAAACTGCATCTTAGACACACTCAGGGGGCCAAGCCTTCAGTGACACAGGAAGCGTGAGGGGGCCCCTGCTGTCTGCCATCTGGGCAACTGGGAGTTCTTTTTTTTTTAATGCCAGTATGGTAACCACTGAGGATAAAGGGCACGGGGGCATAGCGGGAGCCTCCGAAGACAGACAGAGGGGGCATTTTCAGACACAGGTCATTCTCCCTCAGTAAAAGAGCCACTCAGTAACACCTGTGCCCACTCCCCTCTGCCCCACTTAAGATGTTCTGTCAGAAAGCCCGTGCTCAGCAGAACTACTGGCTCCAAACAAAAGAGGTTGCAGGCTTGGCAGCATGAACGCAGGTGAATAACAATAACCACTTGTTCAGTTATTCATATATTCATATTTGTGCTCAAATTTAGCCTTGGTTGTGAGGGTGATGAACAGCGCTCGGCTGAGGCTTGTGCCGTGCTGACAGTGGGGAACTGCCTCGGTTTCTCTCTCGTTTAGTGTGAAGCAGTTGCTGTCAAGCGAGAGACTGAGTGGTCAGGGTGTCTTTTGTGAGTCTTGTCTTTGGTAAGCATGTTTTACTAAAAAAAAACAAACAAAAAAAAAAACAGTACTCTTAATGATGAGGCATATCAGTCACTGAGTTGTCGAGCCAGAGGCTTAGCTTTGACTGATAGATTAGCCACTGAAGGCTAATACACCCGATCAGTTGATAGACAGCAGTTACAAAAAAAGCTAATAGCTCCTCAAACCTTATTTGCTGCCGGGGTCTTCTCGAGAGACCTTCCGTACCGATCCTCTCTTTGAGCGTTATGTTCAGCTTCGCACTGTGAGCTTTACCCTGCACTTCTATGTTTTTTTTTCTTTTTCATTGCATCCAATCCTTTTGATTGCTGTATCACTCAATCCAGGTAACGGCCGTGCTGGAGACCGGTGGACTGTAAGAAAAGAATCGATTCCTGTAAAGCAGAATATACCGTACAATGCGAGTGAATCTGTCGGTTGAAAATGTAAATGGGCCGGGCTGTGAAGCGATCAGGCAGCTTCGGCACCCATGGATCAAGGACCGTGTAAGCATGAGATAGCATTTACCCCTGGTTTTAACTAAAGCACTCAGACATTCTCTCCTCTGCAGCCCTGTAATTCCCTCTGAGTGGTCGGTGTGAAAGTGAAGCACCATTATCAACCTCTACCAAATGTGTTAGATCTTCTTTTCGCTGCTGAAACGAACCACCTTGTTGTAGATTATTCCCTCCACTCAGAATGGAGGTAATGAAGAACTTGTAAATTAGCATTGCACAGTTTGCTGCCCATTAATGATCGGTGAACTCTGTCTTCATATTCATTCTCTTTTATATTGAACTAAAGGCAATCTATCGTTGTCATTGAATAGAGATTAGATTGATGGTATTGCCTGATGTCAACCTCTGTAATAATATATGTCGGTGACACAGCAGAATTCAGGAGCACTTTGCGCTTTTTCTGCATGGCATGTGAGCAATGGCCAAGGTTGCATATTTTCAGAGTGCAGTGAACTAGAATAACTGGAGTTACTTAAATGGGACGAGTGTGCAAGTGTCATGTTTTTTTTGAGGGGTGGGGGTATGTGTTAATTTTAATGTGCTAGCAGAACTTTTTACAACATATACAGTATTTTTAAGCATACGTCCGCAACAAACTGGACCACAAAAAGCTGCGTGATTCTAATTTGCCAGGGTTACATTTTGAATGAATGCATACTGTATATGCCAAAAAAAAAAGATAACTTCACCGTGGATACATTAGATCAAGTCCAGCAGAAGGTTGTGCTCGTCTCCTACTTGAATACAGATTCAGAGTTGTAGTGGCCATGCCTAGATAAGAATCCAGAGAAGCTGTTTCTCTCTTTCCTACTGTATGTCGTAAACATGTCACGAAAAGAGATTGTCCCTGTAACCGTTTGATTTGAAGGAACTATATTGACAACCTGCTAAAGTGCAGAAAAAAAAGGCTCATTTTCCCCCTTTGTAAAAGTTGACAATGATAAAAGTGGATTGCAGCAATCATGGCTGCCATGGATCAACACCTAGAAATATTTCACTCTGCTGATGTGGACATGAATGAGATCCAAAGTCATGTCTCCCTCTGGCTGACTGCCAGGACCTTCACAGGAGCTTTAATAAATGGTTTGTACCAACAGACGGTCCTTGGCCTGTGCGTGAGCGCTTGTGTGTGCGTGCGTGCAGATGTCATTGTGTGTTTATGTGCTATAGGAATTTTAATAAGGACTAAGTGCACAAGAACCCTCCGGGGAGAGAGAAAGACCAATAACCTACAGTAGTGCATTGTACGACTAAAAGGGTTTGAAGAACACGAAAGGGGTGGAAGCAGAGGTGTATTAGCTATTTATTCATAGCACTGGGGTGCACATGAATTATTCAGAGTGACATTCATTCATAATTAACTTTTAATGGATAAATAAATAGACAAAATTGTAGCAAAGGACTCGTATGGATATGACTTCAAGTATATACGGTACATTTATATATTTAATGACACAACTGAAGGGTGACGTTAATGAGGAAAGAACTACAGTCGCTGCTAAGCTAATGCATAAAACACAACCGCATGAGAGGGCTGCGTTAGCGATGCTCAGCATGGTGACGACGGAGAAATTGGTTCAGTAGGTGGGCTGCCTCAGGGACAGGAAACTGGTGCTCGAATTACACGCAAGTGTATGCAAGCCTGAGGGATAGCTGTTCCAAGACCTTGAGCTGATGCTCAGATCTCGGTTGTGATTTAGATACGCGAGACGGCGAGGTGGATAGATGGAAAGAACACACTGACGATCATTGACCTCATCATTGCCGTCTCATCGGCTCATTCCAAAACATTCGGATTTTCATAGCAGTGGACCAAGGTAGCATGCAAGGATCCAAGAAGGTGCAATGCTGCAATGTTGACTATTTTATCTCCATGGGCATCCTCGTCACTAATCAACATATTGCCTTGGAAATGTCTGCTTCAGGATGATCCCAACGTTTTAACATAATGAAATTGTGTGTATTGTCCTCCGCGGACTGCTGAAACTATGAAGCCAAACTCCCGCTGAAAATGTGGTTTATAACACCATGTCACCTCAATTTGTTCATCATGAGAGAGCTGACAATGAGTGACGGGGTGATGACGGGCAATAAAGGACATTGTTATTTTTTTATTTTATTTTTTTTTTATGCATTTACCGGTAAGTCAAATTCGGCTAATACTAAAAAAATATGCAGATTTTTTTTCTGTTATAGATGAGTGGAACTCTTTGATGATAGCATGCTAACTTACGATTCTCACAAAAGCATGAATGGAAGATTTCCCAGCTCGTCTTTTCCATATGTTATAGGATGCCCTCTTTTCTACTTTGACATTCTCGACAGCTCCACTTTATAAATGCTTTGAAAACTTGATTGAATGCATACAACATACAGTAGCTACTGCACAAAGACACATTTACTTTTTCTTTTAAGGTGTCTAATTTTTTCTCACACAACATATTCTACGTTATACCGTCTTTTTACTGCTCCTGAAAAAAAGTGACATGCATACGCACATTTCTGAATGTGTATTGTCCTGTCTTTGTCAGAGTAAGAACACCTGCCACTCTGTCTGTTCCTAAAACGCAGCATAAGAATATATTTTAGGACGGGTAAACGGAATTCCACTGTTGAACACTGACTTTTAAGTGACAAGTGACTGCTTAACAGCGGTTACGTTCTTATCAGGGAAAACAGTTAACGTGTCAGGGATATGAGCCCGGCGGGGGTGCTGGGCAGGTGTTGGGCCTCCTTCGGGAGCTGGAGGTCACATTACCATACAAAAGCCACTCTGCTGGGTAACCTTTCCAGGCGCCGCTCCCTAGTCGGGGGGCCAGCGGTCACACACTGGCACTGCCACAAGTGTCTCATCACCCAGCCACACACTCTGCCACAGATGTACACAAATCTCTCATATTCAGCCCCCCCGCGTTCGGTGTGACAGAAACATTGCTTGTATTGTGACATGATATATTTGTCCCCGGGGAACATAAATCACCAGGGACAGCTCTAAAGAAAAACAAATACTATGATATGGTCCATTGCCATCATAATGCGCACTAAAGGGAAAGGCATTCATGTGGAATTTAGACCCAAAGCCCGACATTTTATCTTCGGCAGCCGTCTTTCGCGCAAATCAGTACCTTTCTCCTCCTTAAATCCCTCCGGAAGAAGGGCTGTTGTCATTTAAGCTCCTCTCTATTTACAACTCCGATATGATGTGTGCAAGGCTCAACGGTGAGGAATGAGTGCAGTATGTTTGATATGGGTCGCGCGAGGGAGACAAGAGATGTACATCGACTTCCTGTGGTAGCATGTGGCGCTTTTCCTGGTTGAGAGGAGGAGGAAGTGAAGCGAGAAAGAGAGACTCGAAAGTGGAGGGAGGTGCACGACGGGCTGCTGCGGAGACGCTGTCGATATAAAGGGGGTTGAGCCGGCTGACTATACAGGTGCTTGTATTGGCGGCCGTCAGCACTCGCACAATGATGAGTGACTGTTAAAGAAAACGGATTGTCATCAAAAATGCTCGGCGCTGGCAAGGCATCCGCTGCAATTAAAAAAAAAAAAAAAAAGTCGTGTTCAATTTCAATATCCATTGTCTGCTATCGACTAAAGTACTGACTGCTCTCGCTCTCCATTCCTGTTGTGGTTGTTTCCATTCCTGTAGGTGGCAGTAATGCATATTTTAAACTTGTTGGCAACAGTCAAACGCATCTATGCATTTCACCTTTGCCGTGCACTACCAGTGATTGATAAAAATTCCCCAAATCATTGCAACTTTGCTTGTGTCACTATTCAGATGAGGCAATACGATTTTGTGTTTTTCAGGGGCGGAGCGACGTGATGCCAGATATTTTGATATCTGTAACTTTTCTGCCATTTTCACACAGATATTCTTAGATCCCTTGATACTCTGCTAGATCCCATTTACATTCATTGCATATTTAAAGAATATATTACTAATTGATCTGGATAAAAGAAGCCTTTTTTAAGTGAAGAACATTTGATTCTTACAGTCAACGTCACTCAAAATCAGGATTTTTACATCATATCAAACAACCAATCTGGCGAGAAGTCACTGCTTATCATTCCATCCTAGCTCACCGTTTCATGAAATAAAATGCACACATACAGTATACCAATCGTGCCCAGCAATAATACAAGCAGGGAGAAACCTAAGTAAAAATAATGTTTAGAATTGTGAAGAATCCAAATATATTTGTTTCATAGTGCTATTTAGATATGATTTGAATGAATTGGCGTCAGCTCATGAATCGCTGCATGAGATAGAAGTAAACTATCTTGCACAAAGGCAAAGTGATGGCTTTTTCTAGTCAATTGCGCTTTTTTTACATCCAGATTTTTGCTGCTTGTATTATGAGTATGTTGGGCAGGCATTTGTATATTTGTGCAATTTTATTTGGTGAAAAACACTGACTGTGGATGGTATGTTAAACAGTGTGTCCCCTTTATTTCCAGCAATAAACATTTCTCCAGAAAAAGAATACATCTTAACATTTATAATGTAATGAAATTCTTCAATTGAGTTTTATTGTGAATGTGCCATTATTCAGATACTCACCAAGTAGTTTCTAATATTGACATTTTAGATGTTGATGTTTGGACAAGAGGGAGCATATATTGTTGGTAAGTTATTAAACTAATGGAAAAAAAAATTGGCATCGCGCACACTGATTTTGACTGACAGGTCATGGATTAAAATAAATAAATAGAGGTGTGCTCGATTCCACGTGCATGCGTGAATGCGTGTTACGCTAGCCCACAGGTAGCACATGCTCACCACATAATTATAGTCATTACACGGCAGGCTGTGGATCCGCTTAATATGATAGTAGACACTAGAAAAATATCTGGATCGTTGACAGCCTTGTGGCACTGTAGCAGTGTGACAGTCAAGCGCATTGTTTATGCTGCAATTACCAAGCCCCAATTCAATCAGTCAGACCAATACACGTTTTTATTGCAATTATGCAAAAGACCTTACAGCTCGCTGTGTGGCGAGACGTGGTGTGCGCTAGCTTGTATTTATTACTGTATTTGTAAAATTAAGTCTTAAGAAGTCCCTGTCACTCAGCCCCTTTCGGCATCCTATATCACAAGCAAACGCCGCAACCTCTCGAAAACATCTCTTTAATATAATTGAGGCAACAATAAGGTAAACGGTCTAATCAAATGAAGTAGTCATTGCCAAGCTGTAATTAAACAGTTTGATACAACTGATTACCAACCTCTGATAGAGAAGGGGAATTGGTGATGTGGGGGCATGGGGGGGGGGGTGTTATGAAAATATTAATACCGCCCATAGCTCTAATTGCGAGGCATTTTGCACTTGTGATTGGCTTGTATCAATGCTATCATCACATTGACCACAATAAGGCAAGAAAGAACATGAGTATGGCAAGATTAAGCCCCGCTCCACTTTGTGATGCTCCAGTACACATTCTAATGTTAACAGTGGGGCCCTGCAGTCTGACTGAGCTAATGGGGTGCCATCCTATCAGGCCATGCGCCCAACCAGAACATTCAGATAGATTGTCCACATCGGCATCCTATATCACAAGCAAACGCCGCAACCTCTCGAAAACATCTCTTTAATATAATTGAGGCAACAATAAGGTAAACGGTCTAATCAAATGAAGTAGTCATTGCCAAGCTGTAATTAAACAGTTTGATACAACTGATTACCAACCTCTGATAGAGAAGGGGAATTGGTGATGTGGGGGCATGGGGGGGGGGGGTGTTATGAAAATATTAATACCGCCCATAGCTCTAATTGCGAGGCATTTTGCACTTGTGATTGGCTTGTATCAATGCTATCATCACATTGACCACAATAAGGCAAGAAAGAACATGAGTATGGCAAGATTAAGCCCCGCTCCACTTTGTGATGCTCCAGTACACATTCTAATGTTAACAGTGGGGCCCTGCAGTCTGACTGAGCTAATGGGGTGCCATCCTATCAGGCCATGCGCCCAACCAGAACATTCAGATAGATTGTCCACATCAAACCTTTTGGAAAATTAGCCAGCACATATTACGCTGTGGCATTTTACTAAGCCTGTCTAAATACGGCGATATGCTTAGTAGCCAGTGAGGGCCGAGTGCTGAGTGAACCCAACCGGGCTCGGTTTGGGGTCGCTCGACTCAAACCGAAATGATTGAAATGCTGTCGCAATCACAAACTAAATGCACGCATTTTTTTTTCAAATACGAAAATCATTATCTGAGGAATGAATTGATGTTTTAAAAGCAAAATTCAAGTGTTTTGCAAGGCGAGACAATAACTCGCCGTCCTCACTACAAGCAACTGAACCCACTCATCCTTGCCATTCAAATGTCACAACAGACAAATGTGGTTGAATTCTATCATAATACTTGCAATCTAACACCTGACTGGACTTCAAACTTTATTTGTTGAACCAAAGGTAATTTGAGTGTGAACCGATTTGCCGCTGCGGTGTCATGAGCAGCAAATGATGGGCAGTGCAATGAGTGCCAGTTGTCATTGGGCACATTTGATGAGAAAACTGACCTGCAGGTAATGAGCTTCACAGAGATTACACTTGCGCTCGGCTTGCTTCGTTTTTCTTTTTTTGAAGTCCAGCCACATTAGAACTAGGTTTAGTTCCGCTTGCTCATATCGATATAGGATAAATTATAATTAACCCCCATTAAAATGTTTCCATTTTGGTTGTATGACCATCCCATTTATGTGAAGGACTTGGACATCCATTTACATTCATCCTATGGAACAATTTGAATCATTTGAACCCTCATCAATAATTTAGATCAACAAACATTGAGCAATGGTGTCCCATTTTGAAGTCCAATGAATAAAAAATGTGACCGCCACGATAGATTGGGTTTTACACTGATGAATCTCATAAAATTCTCCGAATCCAATCGTCTGCGACGTGTTTAGGTCACCTTTTTAGTAACAATTCAGCACGTTTTAAATCTTTGAGACGAATGAAAAATCAACACATCTCCACAGTTTTGCTCAAGTAATTAATTAGAAAAAAAAGAGGACCATCTGGTCTGTGGGAAAAGTGGCCTTTGAATTCCAAGTGACTTGTGCTTGACTTTATCTCGCGCTCTTGGTTTTAAGCGTGTGGCCAGAGAATGCAAATCCATCAGAATACAGCCTTGAGAATATATTTGTGACAGTTTGGTATGTTGTGTAAATGACACAGTGAAAGCTTGTAAAACCGAATAGTATTTTGATGTCCAATGACGGTACACGAGGCTACACCAACAAGTGTGTCCGCGTGTGTTATCGCTGCCGAAGACAAAGTGCTACATTTTTACAAATACTGTACAAGTGATTACGATCGCATCTCTCCTATCATCGTTCCTCTCACATTGCGAAGACGATAAGTGAAGTAAACTGACACGAAGCTCATGATGTCATCAAAGCGTGACGTTGACACTTGATTGATAGACCCAGTTGGATTTGCACGCATCAGTCAGACCGTTCACTCGGCGGCACGTTAACTATGTTGCGCGACGTCGCTCTGGAAAGCGCAACTTTTCCCCCCGTCTGTGTTTTCGTCTCCATGTACAGTATACTTGTGGGCAGCTCCTTTTCACAGCTGCCAGTGCTTGCAGATCAGCAGAGGATCACAGAAACCGAGTTTTTACATTATACAAGGCTTGCGTGAGCTCAGGATTTCCTCGCCTTTTGTTGTACAGCCTGGTTTGTGGAATAGCAGATCAAAGCTTCGCTCAGCGCGCCTCACATAACATCATTTACACATCTGTGAAATCTACAATCACGGAGAAGACTATGGAACCTCTCCCGCATTCATGAATGGAGAACTTTGACCAGGTACAAAGGTTAGGCGCGAAACGGAAACGGTCCTGCTTTTACCGAGCGGATGATTTGAGCTTTGACAACCGCTCATTAATTCTATTTCTACTTTGCGTATTGCTGATTTGCTTTCTTCTTTTCACCCGAGGAAGCTATTCATTAGTCGATCCAGGTTTGATGAATCTATTATTCAATGCTAAATTGTCAACGGTGAGTCCACAACTCATGAAATATGTATCCCCTCGGAAAATGTTCATTTCGCCAGCTGTTTCATATCGTCACGATGAAGCCAAAGTCTCCGTCTATGGCTGCTAGTAACTGTCACTCAAGGACAAACACTTGTTGATGTTTTTGCCCTCGTTGATTATTGTGTTGATTTTGTGAAAACGAAAGCTTGTGGTGCGCTGTGTGAAGCATTTTACCCCCAGGGTGTATTTTGGTTCCAGGGATAACTTTTCTAATTTCACACTACATTTTGACTGATAAGAATGTGAAAAAGAAAGAAAGAAGCTAATTAAATACGCAACCGGTATAGGATGCTGGAATTAAGTGAACACATTTTCTGACGTAATGGTGAGGCCAGGACATCTATTAAAGCTGTTTGCGAGATCATCAACGCTAATTTGGTTGAAACTATAGACTGCCCTCATGGCGTCTGTGGAGAAAAAAAAGCAGGGAAAGGAGTGTTTTTGTTTTTTGCTGAGCTGAAGTAGCTCGACTCAAAAGATGAATGACTGTGTTCTCTAGGAACTCTGAGCTTGATTTAATTGAGTTGAATTAAACCTAAGCCAGGTAGAAATGGAGACAGAGAGAAAATCTATGCTGTTGATCTATAAAAGCCTTGAGGGCTTCGATTCGGATTACGTAGATTATTTTGCTGTCTGGTCACAGTCACACATCGGTCTTATCCCTGGAGTCCTTTGTCCTTATTTATATATTGTTTAGGTTGCGAGCTGATGACAGATGACCGCAACTGTTATGTGATGTTGCTTCCTCAAAATTGGTACAAATGTTATTCGGTTATCATAATTCGGTTGAACTCGTGGCTCAACGAAGATGGGGCACCACCAGCACAACCGAGTAAATGAAATTACGTATTGATTAGCAATTTAGAAGAGCATGTGCAAGACAAAAACATGTTGACGGTGTTCCAAATCCTGTAGAGGCATTCAGAAGATTCTGTTGGGTAAGTATAGATATTGCGATCTTATTTCGTATCTGAAACACAGTGAAGACTGTCAACATCTAGTGCACACAATTTGTGACGTTGCAACGAACTGGACATCGCTGGATAATTGAAGAAAAGATGAATTGGAAAACCGCTCAGGGAGGTTGCCAAATGCTGACAGCTCGACTGAAGGGGCTGTAGCAATTTCTGGCAAGTATTGGCTGATTATTACATGTGACAACAATCTTCCTTTTGGGCCATGGTGGCAAGACGGAAGACTTGTCTTGCAAAGAAAAGAAGCACTTGAAAAAGCATATATGCAGTTGCATATAAGCTTATATCATATATTTTATATTTTATATGGCGTTCTGTACTATGTACAGTTCATTTTTAAATTATTTTGTGCATGCAAATACTTCGTTTTTCTACTTTCTTCCCTCCAAATTTGGCTGCTTTAAATTGCGAATTACTCCATTGTGAGACAAATAAAGGTTTTCTTATCTTATCTCATCTTCAATCTCCCAAAATGCGCGTGGGAACGATAAAATAGTTTAAGATGATCAGTCAATGATCCTCAAAGGGAAATTTCAGCTCATAGGATACAACCGAGTGTTTACAAGTTCAGAATAAAAATAAATAAAAAAATATGAACGGTTGCATATGCCGTTTTCTTTTTTTCGGGTAAAGTAGCATGTGATCTTATTTTTCTTGATTTATTTAATTTTTGGGGGGAGTTTAACCGAACATAAAAAACAGAGCAGCATATTGGGGTGAAAAAAAAACAAAACAAAAACTGGCACTGAGTCTGTGAGTTGTGGCCCACACTGCTGTTGTACAGTCTGGTGGCGCCGAGCACAAAGGAGTGCCTGAAGCAAGTGAAAATGTGTTTTATTCTGATGAAGCAACTTTTTGGGCCATGATTCCAAAAGGTATGTTTCACGCAAATACAACACTGCTCATTCCCGAAAAAAGACCGTACCCGCGTGAAATATGGCGGTTGTAGCATAAGGCTTTGGGGCTGTTTTTTGTCAGCTGCAATTTGGGCCTTATATATATGGTGATGGGAATTATGAACAGTTCCAAATCCCTTTACTAGTCGGTGTTTGCACATATCCTTTAAAATCCCGCTAGGAGCAGCAAATTGTTAGGAAAAGCCTCGTATGGGTCCAATAATTGAACATTATAATATTGCGAAGGCAACTGTACTTCTGGTGCATTTTTTTTTTGTTTTAAATGATCTATGAGCAGTTCATTTTTAGGAGTAATGCTGTAGGATGAGTTTGGAATTGTAGTATTGTGTTTTGAGGTGGGGGCGGGGGACTCAATTACTTCCTATATCATACATCAACAATAAATTGATTAAAAACTTTTTTTAGTGTAGCTATAAATTACAACGCATGATAAAATTCATGTTGCGCAAACTTTTAAAAGTCAAACTTGAAAACCAAAAATGAGAATATCCCAACTCGGAAAAAAAATAGTCAATACGATTTTCAAATCAGGGTCAAAAATACGTTTAGGGCCATAAAAATCCGTCTATGATTAAAATTTGCTGTTGACTAGTCAAAAAAAAAAGGGGGGGGGGATCAGCTGTTTATACATTTCTGCCTGCTGATGTAGATGAAGCTACGCTGCCAACGTAGCCATAAAAAGCACGCCTGAGTAAAGGGGCTTATCTCAAATGCGTTGGTCTTTCTGTGCTCTGGTACATTCTGCCGTATGTACACAGAGGCAGGGGCACGATCTCGCCTTGTCTTTGGTTGTCTGTATTTGTCTTGCTGTCTTTATTGTGCTCCCCACTGTGTTCTTTCTTTCTGTCTCCTCTCTATTTCATCGCCGTTTCAGCCCTTTGCTCTGCTATTACCTCACTTTTCTATTATATTCCCATAACAGGCCTGTCATGTCCTAAGAAATCACCTCTTGTTCTTGACTATTGCAAGATGACACATCGAAATGTTTCAAATGCTATGATTAGCCAACATTGTTCAAGGGTTCCCAGAACAAAGCTGCTTGGGGGCAAAAGATAAATCCGTGCCGTATATTTATCTGCGACATTACAATCCTTCTTGCTATTGTGACAGTAGAAATGATACAAGTGGGGCGCGAAGGTGGCCTTTTCCTTCCTTATTAATATGACGTTACACCATAAGGAAATGGATGGCGCTGTTCTGCGAGCTAGGCAACCTCTTGATCAAATGAAATATTATGCAGCTCATGTTAATTTATGTACATGCCAATGTTTTTTTGGTTTTTTTGCTTTGGAGTTGAAACACATTCTGTGTAAATAATTAAAAAAAAACAAAAAAAACATAAGCTCGGTTCAGTTGATATGCCGTGGGAATTTGATTGACTGTGGCTGCACGCCACAAAATCAACATAGAATGTTGAAGAGCATGTTTTGTTATTATATAACTTACGTGAGTCCTTGAGATCAGGTCCTTTGGTAAAGGCAATTAACACGTTCACTACGAGTTGCTGAGAATTAGAATTTAGGGCAAAACTGAGACTGGGTGGAGTATATCAGTGACATATATCTTGTGAATTAGTTTCATTTTTTTTTCCTAACCTGAAATGTTTTCCTTGATGAGTTCATATGCATCCATTCATGTCATTCAAATCTAAAAAAAAAAAAAAAATCACTATTTATCCCGATGCTCCATGTCCAGCTGCTGCAGCACCTGCCACTGAGGTCGAAAAAGCACCTAATGTTGTCTGCCTCTGCACATTTGCTTGAGAAACACCCTTCACCACCCGTTGAAATTTTTAAATGGCTCTTATGGAGTCAGCACATTTTGACACCTTTCATGCTTTGGTTGCGCCTTTTTTTTTTCCTGTGATTCTCGACAAATTCAAGGGATTTGTGAACATAATGGAGTTATATTTGAAATAGTATGGCTTCAGTTTTTGCTGCACTGATTCAAATCAGTGGATTACAGATTTTAACAGTTTGGCTAACCAAAGCCTCACTATAAAATAAATAGAGCAGCAGACATGGTGTGAGAAATTACTCAAAACTGTGTAATTAACATTTCAAACAAGAAAAAGGCAAATGCTGTAAATATTATAAATCTCACCAGACCTCTTGCAGCTTCAAGATTCACTGCTACATTAATAGTCCTCGCAAAATGTCAATGATTTTTATTCCGACCGAGATTGTGAGGAATAATGAATAAAATCAATTTTGACTAAGCTTGTCACAAGCGCAACTGTGTCCGAAGAGTGTGAGAAGTATTGAAGCACTCTTTGAAGTTTAAACAGCAGGAAAATGTTGAGCAAGAATTATGCGGCGATGGCAATTCAACAGCTGCAGCCGGGTAGACGAATGCCAAGTCATAATGTCTCAAAATCAGCTCTTCCAGCCAACTCAAATTGCGCTTGGAAAAGATGCAGAGTAACATTGCCAACAAACTGTTTATTGCATCTTAGATTTGTTGAAAAGAAAGGAATTGCAATTAGAATCGATGCGCAGAACATTAATCACAGTCAAGATTGATAAGATCTAAATGGCATCCAGTTACCGCAAACATCACGGATAAGTACATCTTGGTCAATGAATCCAAAACGGCTGCAGACGATACCATTTTTTTTTTACATCATCAAGTGTCTTTAGTGTGCATGCGTGTACGCACACTTGTGCCTTTTATTTGTGCGTTTTCCTATTTTACGTGTGTGCATGCTCCCAGAGGGGAAACAGGCTGTGCGGGGTGTTATCTGCTTCTGCAGAGGGTGACAGCTAATCACCAGCCCTGACAAACACCGGGGGAGAGGGGAGGGAGGAGCGATGACAAACGAGAGCGAGAGGGGGAGACGGCACTGGGCAGGGCGATTGACATTCGAATTCCGCGGAGTAACCGCAGAGTGCCTCGTATCCTGTCATCACGGCGCCCGTCGAAGTTTGAATCCGGCGGTGGACAACCGCAGAGCCCTCCAACCTGGCCCACTGACAACTCATAAAAGCCGCCGTCATTGCAGGGCCTCACCAAGACAGAAAGCCACCAAGAAAACAAGCGATGAGTTGAATGAATTTTGATGTTTGCCAAGTCTGTCAGCACCAGCTTTGATCTCCTACCTGCTGCTCGTAAATTCCTCAGTGTCGCCCTGGAGAACGGCTGGGTAGCTGTTACGGAAGCCACCTTACGTCGTGTTACCTTGTCAGGTGAACACAGACTCTCGACTGATTTTGCCGGTAACCCGACTTAAAGTGAATGCCTTGCAGATGGGTTGCGTTCCCGTGAGCTGTGTGTTGACACGAGGATCAGAGGGCATCGGGAACATGAGTGTCGCTGTCATAAAATGGAAGCAGGAAGTCAGGAGATAAGGCGAAACAATTTTAGGCGCACTCCTGAGAGTGGGTGTCATCGTAGCGTGTGGGGGGGGGGGGGGGGGGAAGGGGGGTTTTCCCCCCCAAAAAAACATGTACACCCAGGGTTGTCTTCACTACCACCACACCCAACTGCCACAAACCTCCTACTTAAAATGTCTCCCAAAACACAACAGTACTTTTCATGAGGTGTGCTCGATTTTGGGTGCATTTTTGGGGGCTGACACTTGTTAGAAAGTCGGCCAAGAGAGGGACTTGCCATTCAAACATCTGGAAGCATCTGCAGCCATCTGGAATGTGACTGTCTAGAAGGCAAGGGGGGGGGGGGGGGGGGGGGGGGGGGGGCAATGGAGTTTTTCCCCCCATGAAAACATGTCCAACCACGGTTATGTGATCAGAGCTAAGAGCTCTGTACAATCATTAAATATTTGGTTAATGGACATTAATGACTGCTCAGTTTGATTAACAATAGCCAGACTGAAATGTCAGTCTTCTCCTGGTGTGCCATTGGCTTCTGGCCTCCATATGGTTTCTGGGCTCCCTCCCAGAGCCGGCCGGTGTGGGTGGCATTACTCGGACCAACTGGCGTCTGTCTGAGTCGCCTTGATGGGTGTCATGCCGAGGGCCTCCACACGGAGCGACCCTCATCTGCTCGCACTGTCACACCTCTCACCACTTTGCTCTCTCTATCTGACCCTGTCACCAAGGCACGGAGTGACAGATTCAGCGAGAGAGAAATCGCACCGGGAACTGAAAGAGCGGTTGGCAGGATCTTTTCTGATGCAGACGCCGCTGAAATCCTTTCTAAATAAAATCAAAGATAACTGTCAGCTGCGTTTACCGTGCACGCTGCTTGAGTGCATGCAAATAGCACTATCAGCGAACGAGTCAGAGGTCCAATGCAATTCCAGAATTGAAGTTGTCATCCATTCCTTTAAGCTTAAGTGTTAGCCATGTGTTAAACAGTCCCACCATTCTAACGCCATACAAGACAGATCAGATTGCACAATTACTGTTTCACGGCGGGGTTGGAAATAGACATTTTGTAGTCTAATATCTAATCCACAGATGGTTTGTGGCCGTTTGGTATGGGAGGGTGGCGGAAGCGCATATCATCTACGTTTGAGTGCACGCGCATCTACATTCGTGGTCTCGCTTGGTGTTGGGCGCTAATGGCTGTTGGCATTTGGCCGCTATCACTGATTGTTAATTGTAGATTGGGCGAGATGCACAGCTTCCCTTCTACCTCTGAAACAGATGCGAGTTTGATCCGCTCACCCCACTCGCAAGTCTCTCCTCTATTTGTTGTAAAAGTTGGTTTTGCTTGTTGCGGAATTTATGAATGCAAATACGATTCAGCGCCACACATGAAATTATACAGAAATGCGGTCACGACATCCTCTACGTATACAACCTATACAACGTTTGGGGGTGTCCTAGTTGCTCAAACGTTGAGATTGCATCGATGCAACCTATGTAAATGACTTTAATGATGGTAGATCAAACATGTGGAAAATTGTTGTTGAATTCATTCCATCCAATCAACAGAGTGTAATTACTTGATGAAGCCATTAATATGGTCGCATAAGGCTGAATCGAGGCAATTTAACTTTTCTTGTTCATCCGGTTTTAATTCAATGTTTTGCGGACGACAATAAGCTGGGTGGCCGAAAACCTACACAGAACCGTGAATATGACAACCCGTCATCATTGGCGGTTGGATCCTGTCGCTCTCAATCCGACAACAAGAACATTTAAAATCACGATTACTTTTAAAATGAAAAGCCAAGAACTGAAAGGGTCAACTTAATGTTCGAGAAATGCTAATCTGCTAACTGACTTCTGTCTCGGTCGCCCTTGAGCAAGAGGTGCAGCGCTGCACGCCTCTTCGCTCTGACATTTCTCCCTTCAGGCCTGCCTTCGTATTCTCTGGGTAGCGTGCAAAACAAGTGGCACTATAAACAGAAGAGTGTCCACTGAATTTCCCCTTGAGGAAATTAAAATCAGTAGACATGAATAAAGTAAATAGG